GCTCGGGTTGCAGTCCTGATACCCAGCACAAGGGGGCGCGGACATATTGCAAACTCTGCCCAGATGGGCAGCGCAGGAAGGGAGCACCCAGCCTGAGAAAGTGGGGTGGATGTCCCCTGAGCTCCTTCTCCATCTCCTCTCTGTTGAACACTTGCATGCCACCTCGGGCTGGGATACGGCTGCGCTGGGGCTTCTGGCGGACAGGTGGGGAGAGTGGAGGAGAAAGTTGGGCACCATGGGGCATAGGGGTGTGAGGAAAAGAGCCCTCCCTACTGGTACCTCCCACCGCCCCCATGTCAGAGTTTAGGTGCTGGCCGGCCTGGGAATGCAATTATTTGGAGAAGACTGGGGTCAACGCAGCGTAAGACCAACCACTCCCAGGTTCAGGACTGGCTGGGGGCGGAATGCTGGCCGGTAGAAGAAAGAAAGGGTCGGGCCTGCAGGGACGAAGCAGGGGCCCTGGAGTCCCGCTCTCTTGACCTCACTGTATTGTTCTTTCTTGTGTTAACCTTCTGAAGATGGAGACCAAGTTGGTCACATGAACTAAGCTTAAGGGAATGGCTCAAGATTCTTTCCCGGGGGGTGGGTGTGGGTGGGGGTGGGTTGATGGGGGCTGTCTTTCCCATTTGGTTACCCCTGGGCTCTTTGTCCAGGCACTTCAGTTCCACGAGCCTTCTCCTGACCTCCTGGTACCTTTTGTAAGTAAACAGAGGACCCAACAACTCTGTCCGCCACGGATTTCTTAAGAGCCACAGGGACTCTTGCCCGGAACTATGCAGCCATTGTCTTAGAGGGCAAACGGTTCTGTGATCTACCTGCAGGGTTCATCTTTTTGGAGTCCGCAGTGGGACAGAGAGCCTGTGCTGTCCGCATATACCAGCTCACAGAACCCCAGGAGGCACTGTGGGACCCAGGACATACTGCCAGGGAAGTCATGCACCCGGCATGGTGCCGCCAGGCGCTGAATAGGCCAGGAGGGCTTGCTGGGAATTGATTTGTCTGGCACCACATTGCGTGTCTCTGGAAGCTGAGGTGAAGGGTGGTGCCTTTGGCCACAGTCCAGAGTGAACTGGGGAGCCTGTCGCGTGCTTGTGAATCGGCTGGGCCTTTCGGAGGAGGCCCTGGTCTTTTCCTGATTTGTGGTCAGCCTGGTCTTGCCCCACCCAGACCCCATCCTGCCCCAAGTCAAGGAAGTGTCCCTCGCAGGAGAGTGAGTGAGTGAGCAGGATGTGACCCACTGGTGAGACAGCTCCCGGGTCTGGCCTGAGCCCTGAATCACTGGGCTACTCTGGGCACACCAGCACCGAAGCCCTTCCGCCAGTCCACTCCAGTGTGGCTACCTTTCCGCCCTCTGTTGCCCTTCCTTACCCAGGTGTGAGGGGCTTGGGGGGTGGGGATCTGGTCTCCCTCCCCACCAAGGCCTGATGCCCCCAGTGGCTGATGCATCAAGGGGCTTGGGGCTACAATGTGGAGGCAGAGGAGGCTGCTCCCCTGGGGTGTGCTGGCAGGCCTGGCCTGGGGTGCCAGAGGAGCCTTCTCTGGAAGTCCTAGGGCCAGGACGTGTGGCAGAGGACAGAGGGGGCTGGGCCTGGCTGCCCTGAAAGGAGCTCTGCCAATGGCCCTGGGCCAGGGTGGAAAGTATGTGTGTGAGCTCATTTGGAAGGTGGCCTCTGGCCAGTCGGGCTGCCTCCCTTCCAGGGGCTGGCTGCCCAGCCCCCTCCTAGGCAGCCTGGGTGTCTCCCACATCTCTCTTGCCGAGAGGAGGAAGGCAGGAGCCCCTGGAGGTGAGGGCAGGTGTGCAGGAGGTGGTCTCCAAAAGGAGGTGAAGTCAGGCTGGGGCTTGTGGGAATGGAACGTGTCCGTGGGGTTGCGGGACAGTGGAACAGATGTTCCTGGGGCTTCCTGGAGGCCTTGGGGAATGGCTGCCCCCCACCCCCTCTGCCTCGGACCTCTCGGGGTCATTTGCACCTGAATCCCACGCCTAGGTGTTGCCGTCATTCCTCTTAGTTCCTCTGGCCTGAGTCTTGCTGTCCCCCTTCTCTGAGTGCCTGTTCCGTCTCCAAGGCGGGGAGCCACAGGCTGGGGCTGGCCTGACAGGCAGATTCATGAGGAAGGACCCCTATTCACCTGGACACCCATCCCCATGCGGATGCTGCCCCCCAAGCACAGAGCCCAACAGGCCAGGATGCCGTGACCGACAGATCCCCCTTGCACCAGCTACAGAGGGCCCTCCCTGGAGAGAAGTCCAAGAGAGCTTTCATTTCAGAATCTGCCCGTATAAGGAAATATAGACATGTATATGTGTATAGATAGACATACATATATATACATATGTATATATATATATCTCCTTGTCTACCTAGGTGTCTCTCTCTATCCTTGTCTGTATTACACACACACACACACACACACACACACACACGCACGCACGCACGCACGCATCAGATAGATCTTTGTTTGCATTTTGGACCTAAAACAAGCTGACAGGCTGTATGACCTTGAGCAAGTCATTTGCCTTTCTGCATCCGTAAAATGAGGGCAATATGAGTGTCCGTGTCACCGGGAGTGCTTCCCGTAGCAGGAAAGGGGCGTCGTGTTACACATGGGAACGAGGACCACTCAGCTCTAGGGTGAAGGGGCTCTAGGGAAGGGGCAGTGACAGTGAAGGACGGGCAGAACCAGCCAGTTGGGGTCAGTCTGCTTAGTCCTCTCTGCTCTGCAAGGCAGGGCCCCTGTGAGATCTCCCCAGCCCTCCCTTTCCCATCCTGCAGATGCAGCACCTGGCTGGCAGCCCTGGAAGTGTGGCCCAGCTGGTGGCGGGAGCCCTAGAGAAGGGAAGGCACTGACAAGGGGGTTCACGGAGCTCCCCTCCAAATCTGTCACAGAGGGCAGGGTCCTCCTGGGCCTGCTTAGCCCTCTCCCCGAGGAGGCCGGCCTCTCCTGAGCTCCCTGCTGGCCTGGGTTCTGCCAAACGTCCTGCAGCTTCCCCTTGACTCCCTCCTGGCTGCTCAACTCACATGTGCTGCTTTCTAATAAAGGAACTTGGAACCACAGAAACTGGGCCAGGCCCAGTGGGCAAAGCCGGGTAGGGCCAGCAAAAGCAGAGCCTGCAGGTCTCTCTGGAGCCGCGGGCCCTGGCTCTTGCTCGCCCCAGCCTGGTCCCCTCTGATGGGCCACTGGGAGACATCCCAGAGCTGCCAGGCAGCTTCCCTGGCTGGGGTGGCTGGGATAGGACCAAGCACATCATCAGTGCAGGACCCTAGGCCCTCCCTCCCCAGGGTGCCCTGCTCCTGGGCCTTGTGTCCTACCTCTTCCCCTTTGTCTGCGGTCCTTCATTCCCCTCTCTCCCCCTTGGCTTCAGGGAACGTCTTGTGATTCCAGAATCAGGGCCAAACAATTTCCTCGTGATGGGGAAACCGCACTCCAGTCTTGAGCCCGAGGCTCCCCCCACCCCCCTCTGGCAGTCCCCCCTCCCCTGCCTCCTCCTTGGGCTCCAGCTGTGTTGTGCAGCACTCCCACTGGCTAGCATCTGTAATTGCCTCCAGATGTGGCCCACAAAAACACAATGGGGCCATGAGCTCATTCTTTTCTCTTGAGCTCTGTGCCACCCGCACAGACCCCAACACCCTCGGGACGCCCCCAACAACCCGCTGCCCTGTGCTGGCTCCTCAGGGTCCCAGCTCCCACGAGGGTGGTGTCCAGCTCCACGGAAACTCTCAGGCCCTCCCAAACAGCTGCTGGCAGGGGAGGTGCAGGAGGCCAGGCCCAGGGTCAGGGTTCCTGGCTGGCAGGAAGGTGGGGATCCCTCTGCCAAAGCAATCACACCAACCAGCTCCGAAGAGCCAGCAGCTGGACAGACCAACTGGCCTAGGTGGGGCCAGAGCTCTGACGGCCCGCTGCAGAAGGAGGGCCTGGGCCCGAGCCCAGGTCGGGCTGGGCTGAGGCAGGAAGGGGAGGCTGGGAGGGGGTGCGGTGAGGAGAGGCGGCTGGCTGCTCTCCGCTAGCCGAGCTGACTCAGCAATAGAGCGATTCGTCCCTCAAGCTGGTTCTCAGAGGAAGCCCAGCCTGGGAACCTGTCTGGGACTGCGATTCCTAAGCACAGAGGAAACAACGCTTGTTATTCTGCCCTTCCAACCTGACCGTCCTGGCCCTCCTGGGCGATGGGCTTCCTCGAGGCCCCTGTCCTGCCAGAAGTTACTCCTTATTGACCCAGGGGCAAGTGCTGCTCCTCGCCCTCGGGCTCTCAGGTCAGTCCCTTCAGTCCCCTGCCCGGCTGCCTTAGGGGCTGAGGAAACCCCCCATTGGCAAATCTGGAGAAATTAGGGAACTGATGGTCTGTGGGCAGGTCACACGGCATGGCAGGGCAGTGCAACTTAGGAAAATTTTCCAAGTAGCCTCAGTTTGGCCACTTCCTCTTGCCTGGGTGGCCTTGGGTCCCAAGGCTCGGTGGAGAGAGCAGCTGGACTGTCAAACCGCTACCCTGCCCTCAGTGGGGTGCCACTCGCCTCACCCCCACCCCACTTCTGGTTCCCAAAGCCTTCCGTTCCACTCAGAAGAAATTGATCCCTTTAGGAACAACACCCAAGCCCCACCTCATGAAAGACACGGCTGGCTCAGGTTGCGGGGTGGCCCCCCTCCACCCTGTTTCCTCTCGTGGCCACAGCCCCGGCCCCTGCACAGAACGGCAGTCACGCACAACATGTGAGACACGCTTTATTCTTTGTGGAAAGGTTGAACAAGGTCAAAAATAGATGTCCTTAGAGGGCACCGACCCAGCCCCGCCCTGCAGGTTCCTGGGGTCAACTGCCTCTGTCCCCCCTCCCGCCCCCTCCCCTTCCCATGCCCTTTGTTAACAAAAAAGGAACAATTTGAATGGAATCCATATATAATAATTATAATAAAAATATACATTAAACAAAACAAACAAACAAGACAGAATTTTAGCCGAACTGCCAGCACCGTTTACCCCACTTACCCCCTCCCCGGACCCCCCACCCCTGCTATTCCTCTCCTCTCGCTCTCCCGTGTCCCACTGCCCCCTGGTACCTGACCACCTTTGGTGGCCAAAGGAGACGCAGAATAGGCAGGCTGATCAGGGCAGAGGGAGGCAGCACATTGGTTAAGATGGGCCAGGGGAGGGCGGTGCCACCTACCCGGGAGACACCCGAGGTGCCTGGCCCCTCTCAGAGGTGGGGGTAATGCCCAGCCCCCATCACTTTTTGGCTACTTAGACAAGGTGACCTCTCTCAGCGAGGTTCCGGAGTGAGTCCCTGCTGCATACAACCTCTCTGTGCTCTCTCCCATGTCCCGTCCCCTCGAGGCTGTCTGGTTACCCAGGAAAGGACGGAGGACCAGCAAGCATGCCCTGGTCAGGGCCCATCCTGAGCTCCACCACAATATACTGCCCTCCCTTGGCTGCCCCCGCTGTTCTTGTTCCCAGGCCCCGTCCCCCCACCCCCCAGCCTCATTCTGCTCCCTCCCTCCACTGCGCTGCCCCTGGGTCCCAGCCCCAGCCGCCTGCATGTGGCCTTCAGGCTCACACCTAGGGCTCCAGACCCCCTGGGTCTCTCCCCTGGCCCTCCCACCTCGCACTCCCCAGCCAAGGCTAACTTTTGAGGGGGGCGAGGCTGCCCAGGGCTTCTCGTGCCCCAGTTTAGTCCTTAATGGCTCAGACGCCTTCCGTGAAAGTTCTCTGGCACAGGTGGGGGACAGAAGCAGGTCTGTGGAGAGGGCCAGTGAAGACCCTCTTCTAAGTTTTGCTCCCAAGGTCTCAGCGGTGACTGCTTAGTCCCCAGCCTCTCACCCCCTTGCTTCCTTTTAGCCAGAAAGAGTGGTGGCAGGCTGCCAGTGGGGTACACTGGGGGGACTTGGGGGCTGTGGTGCCCAGAGCCTCCTGAGGTCAGAGTTCAGAGGTTAAAAGTATGCCAGGGGATGGAAGAGGCGCAGTTGACCCCAATTTGACCTTTATCAGCGAGGTCTGAGGGTCCTGCCTTCAAGTGCAGAGCCCCCCCACAAGACATTCAGTTGGGGCTAGACACACACCAAGTTACAGGGCTCCCCTGAGGGGCAGCGACTGGCAGTCTCCCCCCACCCCAGACCCTGCTTAGCCCCCCCGGGACCCTCCTGAGAAAGAAGCAAGGCAATGGTGGGAGAGACCAGTCAGGGGACAGAGAGAGAAAGGCGTCGGGGTCAGGGGCCTAGAGCACAGGGGGGTGAAGGGAGGGCGCTTGGGACGGGTGGGGGCAGCCCACCCACCACCACCTACTGCCAATGGCCTTCGGAGGCAAAGTCCGTGTGGTAGGCGTGGGCAGGCCCGCAGCGGGGGTCAGACCTTGTCCAGCAGGGAGCGCTGGCAATAGAGCAGCCGCTTGGGTGTCCCGTGCCGTCGGAAGAAGACGACGGCCAGGCCCACGGCCACCACGAGCAGCAGCAGCAGCACGGGCAGCACCACAGCGGCGGCGCTCACGGCCCCAGGGCCCTCCTCGTCCACCTCGATGATGATCACCTCGGTCTCCTCCTCCACG